TTGCTATATTAAATGTAAATTTATATTGAAAGTATTATAGACTTTTTAATAAAATCTTAATACATGTATAATAAATTTTATTAAAACATTTCTATTAATATAATACTTAAAATTAAAATTTCCCTAAACCAAAATAAAGATACATTGCACAAGAAACTTTTAAAAAGAATTTTATTTTACCATTTAAATTATATTAAATTATAAATTTATAAATTTTAAATAAAAAATAATTTAATATCAAAGAACTTTTTTTATTTAAAAATTATTATTTTATAATTTAATATAACTTAAATTATAAAATATTTTTTCATTTAAAAAAATTACTAGAAGGAACAATTATGTTGGCAGGGTAGGGGCCTGGACGGGAAATCAAATTTTAAATTCCTTATTTATATAAAAAAATTTCAAGCACCAACGAGTTTTCAATTTCAGTACTTTATCTCTAAATTTAAATATTTAAATTTAATTAATTAATAATTTAATTTTTATTAACAACTTAAAAAATATCCATCATCTCAATATTTAAAAAAATAATTTTCAATTACATTAAGTTCAAACAAGTGGTGTACAACTTATTATTAAAATCGTATCATTACTGCAATATATTTGATATGAGAAGTTCAATGGGGTGTACTTTTGTTTTGGGCTGACATTTTTTAATTTTATCCTTACATCAAAGTTACCAGTTAAAGGCAACCCCTATGATTGAAAAGACTGCCTTGTTTCCTCAAGCTCAACATAGATGACTCTCGGAACCATACAACAGGTGGGGTAGCTGCAGGGGGACTTATCAGCAATCACTGTGATATTTGGATTCATGGATTTGCTGTAAATGTAGGTGTAACTTCTAGCTTATTGGCTGAGCTATGGGGATGCCGCGAGGGATTAAAACTGGCCCATTCACTTGGTGCACAACATCTAATTCTTGAAATGGATTCCTTAATGGTAGTACAGTTCATACAGTCACGCAAAATTGCTGCTGGACCGGCATCTCTGTTGCTTGCGGACATTTTTTTGCTATTAGATGTTTTCACTTCCTGTAATGTCCTTCATACTCTGCGTGAGGCAATTCTGCGGCAGATTTTATGGCTTTTATCGGGCATGATCTACCTATAGGCACAGTGTTTTATCCATCTCCCCCATTGGGCATAGATCTCATCTTGCAAGACGACTGTACGGAGACTATGTTCCTTAAATATTAAGTTGGGTGGTTAGCTTCTGATGTACCAAAAAAAAAAAAAACTGCCTTGTTTTTTTTTTTTTAAACGAAAAGACTGCCTTGTTTCTGTTTATTTGTTAAATTAGACTCCAAATCCCATTCCAAATTTATTCAACGGTAACAAGTGATGAAATTGCACAATTTTTTTTTTTTAAGGTAAATTGCATTACTTTGTAAACTTCTTCAAATTAGTCTATGTCTAAATCTGTCAGGTCCCCTACCCAAGGACAATTATCACGGTCGGTGACAGTTTAAGAGTATGTTTGGTAGAGTTTTTTTGGAGTTTTTAATTTTTTTAATATTATTTAT